CGATACATCGACATACCAGCGAAGGGAGTACGGAGGGGACCTATGAGGGTCGGGAACGAGTGAAAAATGAGACATCATCCCCGAGGGAAGGACTTCATTGATTACGTAAGAAGTCTCAAAAGGTCACGTAGCTCTTCCTTTTTGTTAATTTCTGGCCTGGTTCGATGTATTTCCCGCGCTTCCATGATCTTTCTTTCCAGTGGCCGTACCAAATGTCTATGCAGAACGCTCGCATCGATGAAGAGACTGAACCGTCCTCATTCTCATGTCTCAACGTACGGTGTCTGGAGAAGCTGCTATGAGGATAAGCGGCGGGATTGGCCAACGCTCTCCTATGCTCGTCCAGTCGAATCTTCAAAGGTCTTGCCGTTTCCCCCACGTATTTTTCTCCACATCCTCTGCACTGAACAAGATAAACGGTGCCTTGGAGTTCACAGATCTTCTCTGATGTGCAGTATCGACAAGATTGTTCGTGGCACCGATTTTCATAAATTCGGGATGATGTGAAGAAGAGATCTTTCAGGGTAGAAGTACGAACGGAAGACAGCTCGGCTATGGGAAGTTGAGGAGTCTCTGATTTCACGACCGCGTTTCACTTTCACCGTTGCGGGACACCAGTTTTTTGCCTCTCAACATAGTTCTTACTAGCAGTACGAGGCTGTAGCCATGTATATCGCGATAGCAGCGGCTCGGTGCTCAGCAGTGTCGCCGCTCACCCTCTGGCCACATAGAGAAGTCTTCATCAACCTCGAATTTTGTTTACAAGCGTAATTGATGGACGTCTTTGTTATTGGACACGACATGAACATCACCTTCACAAGAGAAGATCCAGGAGAGATGGTTTTTTGCCATTTCTCAACACGCAAGTAAGAATACGTGAAGGCTACAAGGAACACCTATGGTATAGAAAAGCTGCCTCGTCCGATATCTTGTTGCATTCTAGAAGTGCCCATCCGATCTATATGAAGGCGAATGTCGTGCGGAATCTTCTAAGGACGAAGGAGAAGTTAGGGACACGAAGGGACCCAGTTGTGAACACCAAAGTTGAAAGCATTCTCGAAAGTAATGGATACTTCGAAGGAACTTTCAGGACCTGGGTTCCACATAGATCAGCAGACGGAATAACCCTCATTATGCCTTTTGTCCACGACAAAATGGCACGTGAGGTGAACCGCGTTGTGAAGAACTCCCAACTTCCCATCCGACTTGTCTTCCGTCCTCCTCCTACCCTGAAAGATCTCTTCACATCATCCCGAATTTATGAAAATCGGTGCCACGAACAATCTTGTCGATACTGCACATCAGAGAAGATCTGTGAACTCCAAGGCACCGTTTATCTTGTTCAGTGCAGAGGATGTGGAGAAAAATACGTGGGGGAAACGGCAAGACCTTTGAAGATTCGACTGGACGAGCATAGGAGAGCGTTGGCCAATCCCGCCGCTTATCCTCATAGCAGCTTCTCCAGACACCGTACGTTGAGACATGAGAATGAGGACGCTCCATCTTTCGATGTGAGCGTTCTGCATAGACATTTGGTACGGTGTTAGGATAAAGAAGAACAGTTGATCAGTCGCAAGTATTGTAATTTTAAGATTGGTCTGATGATGGCATTATTGCCGAAAGCTTGCCAATAAAGTGTAAGAGTAGAAGAGCTTCAAGAAACTTCAATCTACGATCCGGAATACAAAAAATGTTAATGCTTCTCAAAATGATCTCCTTTAGCCTTCACACAGTCCTTCAGACGTTCGACAAATGCTTCGCATGTGGCACGCAGGTACTGGTCATCGATTTCGTCCCAAGATTTTGAAAGCGCCGCCTTAAGAGAGTCCAAGTTTGGATGTCTGGTAGAACACGCTTTGCTCTCCAAGATGGACCACACAGAGTAATCCATCGGGTTTAGATCAGGAGAACTGGAGGGCCATTCGTCGTGTCTGATGAAGTCGGGCAGGTGCTCGGCGCACCACTCCTGGACCATCTTTGCTTTGTGTGCTGGAGCAGAATCCTGCTGGAAGCACCAGTAGGCTTCTCCGAAATGGGAGTTGGCCCACGGCTTGAGAACTTCCTCCAGGATATTTTTGTAAACCTCTGCGTTGATTTTTACACCAGCTTCAACGAAAACAAGTGGGGTCTTCCCCGTAGAGGTGACTCCTCCCCAAACAAGAATGGACTGGGGGTGTTTCGCTCTTTCCTGGAGTCTTGCCTTGGTGGTAGCATCAGCAAGTGATCCTGCAATAATCCTCTCATTTTGGGAGTTGAAGGCTGGATTCAGAGTAAAAATCTTTTCATCACTGAAAACGATGTCTCGGGCGCGTGCCACCGTGAATCGCTGCAGCAACTTCTTGCATCTCTCCAATCTCCTTTTCTTCATAATGTCCGTCAGGAGTTGGCATTTCTGCAAGCGATAGGGGAACTTCCTTAGCTTACTTCTGACAATCCTCCTCATTGACCTCGCGCTTACTCCAACGTCTTTCGCCATCTGGCGCATCGATCTCCTGGCGTTCCTTCGAATTCTTTCTCTGACGAGCCTCACATTTCTCCGACTCGTAGCTGTTGTGGGACGTCCTCTTCCTTCCCTGTCCTCTTCGGTCTTCAGTTCTTTATAGCGTCGTACTGTATTCTGAACCGTCCTTCGAGGTACGGAAAGGATCTTCACAATTTCTCTTGTTTGCTTGCCGTCGTTGTGAAGTTTGATGATCGCGCTCCGTAGGTCAGAACGACGGACCATTTTGTATTCGAGTACGTAGGAATTACGCAACCTCCAGGCAACATATCACAAGCGAGTGAAACAGGAAAATCTCCAAGAAGTGTTAAAAAATTCAAAACGTATAGGTGCACCAGTAATTTTGCCCCACCCTGTAAAGAAGGAAGCGAATTAGACTGATAGAAAGCGCAAACCTTCCGCTTTCCAAAACTGTCTTCGCTTTTCAAGGTCTTGCGAAATTAGAGAGATATTGCCTTTTAAGTGGCAAAAACTCGCATGAAAATTCGCATCCTCGACGCTCCCTCGACAAAATTTGAGAGACCCTATCTCTTCGAGTGTAAGCTTTTAGATCAATTTCAATATTGCCCGGTAGTAGCAAATCCAGCTCTATCTAACCCTACCACATACTGCTCCAAAGGTTATGAAATGGGGGAATGGAACCTTTTCATCGAGAGTGTAGATTTCGACGGTTTCGAGCGGGGTTTCGGCAAATCTGACCCACGGACAAACGCGCTGCAACTGAATGCTTTGCTGTACATTGATGGAACTCGGTTAGGCCGGACGCATAGTCGGTCGGACGACAGCAACGATCGCAAGTGTCGCACAGCATTGGGTGCGTATCGATCTGCGACACATGCGACACTTACGACCGCTGCTGTCGGACGACAGCAACGATCGTAAGTGTCGCAGATCAATACGCAGCTACTATTCCACACTACAGTGGGACTTTCGAAATACGATCACGCGCAGTCACGTGTTGTCTGGGTTAGCATTGGGTGACCGCGTCGCCTTCCATTTGCAACCGCGGTTTATGCGACACTTGCGGTCGTTGCTGTCGTCCGACCGACTATGCGTGCGGCCTTAGGCCGATGTCATAGTTTGCAAAGTTTGATTCGCTAGCGAATCGCTCGATGAATCAAACTTTGCGCAGCAATCGACAGCGTATGCATACCCGCGAGTCGAACTAGTACAGCGACTCCCAACAACTGGTGTACAACATACGTTTAAAGGAGCGCGCACACTTTCAACAACATGTCCACTGTCCCACGTGACACTGTTTTAGCCGCGACCATAGTCGTCGGAGACGCAGCAACGAACTGCCAAAGGAGTTTGCATCAAGATCCGGATTTTGGGAGGGGGGTCGTTAATGATCTGACCACGCCTCGACAGCGAATTTGCCGATTCGGGAGCGAATCAAATTAGCTGGTGGCGCGCCAGCTATTGATCGCTCCCTGCCACAACGGGAGTGATCGCGCCCATCGCGCGATTGGAGCGATTGGTCATGATGGGACTCATGTCAATCGCGCGATCGTCGCGCGAATCGCGCGATGGTCGCGCGATTGGCATTTGACCGATCGCTCCAATCGCAGACTCTGACATCGGCCAATTTCACCCTGCTTCGAGGGGGTGAGCCGATTAAGTTGCAGCAATGTTCGCACGTATCTGAATCACAGTAATCATAAGCCGCCGATGACGCGAGAGGGCGCAGGTGCGAGCATCAGTCGACGCAGTTTAAAGGACTTTGAGTTCAAGATGTCCATAAACCTTTCCCCATTCAAGGATATCCCGTAGTTACTGTGTTCTTGTGTACCAACAGCCGTTTCTGATTCTTCATGCATGTGTGTCAACAGTAATACAAGTCACAAATTAAAAGGCTTTCTATCCAAATTTCATTCCAACTTTGTCTTGGCTTTCAAGAACCATGGAAGGCTCTGGAGAGGACTATATTTATGAGCTATCAAAATTTGTCCGTGGTTTTGCAAACGTCTCCAGAAGTCTCTGGTACAGAGACGGACTGTCTCTGCGTTGCAACCACTGCCGATCGAATCTTTTGACCGAGTGTGTAAACACATTTGAAGTAAGCTCCTAACATCTGTGAAATAAGCTTATCAGTAGCTGGACGTCCTCAATATTCCGGTGCTATTATTTTCAGGTGCGACTGAAGTGAACAAAAAGCTCATGGCGTTCTCTACTCGTCTAAAAAATCACCGAACTTCGTAGTGAGGAAGATATCGAAGAAGGTTGCATGTTTTGAACGTCTGTGGCTCAATTTTTGCTCGTAAACATGATCAATTCAGGTTTCCGAGGTAATCACTTGGTTTCTTTCTTCGTTGGTGTTCTGTTGTCCGAGAAAGTTAATCGCTCCGAGAAATGGAACGCGGTGAGCTTCATGTAATCATGTTGAAATTTGTAGTCCTTGAAAATCAATGCCGTCAGCAACAGGCCCGATATTCATAAGCATCCCTGTTCGCCTTTCAACAAGTAATCGTGGCATTGTATTAGGTACCGGATATCTTAGTGTCGTTTTTTCACCGCGAGTTTCGGACCACCAATATTTTAATTCAAAATCCAGTGAGTGAAACGGCATATCCATCGAATGACTCATTAGCCCTTTCCCATTTACCAGTATGAGTGAAAACCTCGTACGATTAAAGTTAGGAATTTTTTGAGACGAAAAAGAGAGGTAGGTCGAATTTGACATCATCTGACAAATCATCCCTCTACCTTGCTAAACAGTTGGGCCTGGACAAAATATGTATACATTTAGTTAGAGTAGGGTCTGCACTGTTTGGTGGAAAATTTATTACTTACCAGCTCAACTGGACAATTTTTCCCGGAGTCTTTTTTGCCACATAGGGTCAAAAACGCACCCTTTTTGAGCACACGTGAGTAGCAGATGAGCACATTTATTAGAATTTCTTGGTCAATCAACTTCGTTAGAGCGTCTGTGCACCATCGATCAGTAACTGCTAGGGTGTCCTACCATTCCAGCACAAGACTGGTGCAGCCCCGTTTTGACTGATTTAGCTAGGACCACCTTTTTGGCGACGGTTGCGGGCATCCCTTCAAAGACTTTACTGTCTTTTAAGAAAACTGTGAAAAACCGATGAGCATTTTAAATGGTAGTATTCCCTCCATCAAATGCAATGCTGGTTTGGTGGGCGGAGGTTACAGCTCTCAGCAAGAATTTTGATGCATTTGGTACACACATGCGAATTTGCACACTGGACCCAGGAATTTTCAGAAGAAAGTATAAAAATTGGGGGAAAGTTAAATTGTGAACCAACAATAGAAGACGGTAAGCAACATATTTCGCAATATTAATGAGCAAAAACTGCCTTCTGGGATATTGATTTTCCATAGTAATCGGCCCCAAAACTTCCTGAACTCAGAAAAGCGACACTAAGATATCCGGTACCTAATAGATTCCATTGTAACTGCGCAACCAAGCCTAAACATAACTATACCGCTTAATCTTGATTACGTTTCGCCTCTCGTCCCTTCGTTATCGACCCTGACTGAGGCCGATATTGTTTAATTCTTCTGAAGCCTGACTGTTCCGAGGTGTTCAGTTTATCTTGCCTGTCGCCATCTGCACGAAGTGGCGCATGGTTTAATGCTATCAGAGGTGTCAGTTCTGCTACTAACCGCTAGCGAATCGCGCGATCCCCTCGATTCGCTAGCGATTGTTCGCAAAGTCTGACATCTTATGTTCAGCTGGTCCATTTTACCATAGATACGCCTACTTTTTCTATTAGTCTATCTATTCTTCTAGTTTCTACTTATATCAGATTCTTCTGGTATTCAGTTTTGATGAAAAGGTTGTGGAAATTTAGTAGGGCAAGACATGCTGTCTTCGATGAATAGTTTTTGAAGTCCTGTCCTTCTGTGGCAGTTGTAACTTTTTTCTTGCAAGTAACTTTTTTCTTGCAGATTTGAAGAACTGCCAAATGAGATTCTTCTCAAAATTGTGGGATATTGTGACTTCGCATCAAAAATGAACATGCGAGCGGTAAGATTCCTGAATTCTACCTTCTTTTTTTTCATGGTCAGTGGTCTCTTTTTTGAGGTCAGTTATCGTTTCTGTGCGTTGGTAGAAAAGAGTGCACATGCAGTTCGACACAACCTTATCGGTGGAGTTGAAATCAGGCGAGGTGATGGGGACGGTAACGATATCTTCGATCTAGGTGACCATTTCGGCGACTTTTATGGGGATGTTAGCTCAACAATGCATGCAAAGAGCGCTTCAGGTGAACATCATTCTTTCACGTGCTCGAGCTTTTATGTAACGCTATGTCGTCCTCTAAAGCGAATGGAGCTTTTGGTTCCGGCCACCCGTCTTCCAAATATCATGAGGTTTATGAATGTAATAGATAATATGCTGTCCAGAACCGACTCCAAGTGAGCTTGCGGCCGGACTGCCGAGAGTTTGGCACGAGGTTTTACGTGTGACTCCTACTCACGCGCTAGAGCGCTCAGCTGAAAGTCGGTGCTTCACGTTCTTTATCTCTCCTATCTTGATTACATATGCATGGTGACACTGAAATGCCTTTTTCCACATGCTATTATTTTGCAGGCATGTGTGCGTCTGCCATTCATTCAAGCTTTGTGGAATTCCATTAGATGAGGGCTTGGCTTCAAATATTCTTGATGCCTCGTTCAGAGCTGTTAACGACGTAGTCATTGATAGGGTGCACACTGTTACAGCCGAAACACTTGTCAAACTAGTAGACAAGGTGAGAAGTTAATTACGGTTTAGGATTTGTTTGATTGAATTGCTTCAGTGGGTGAAGTTTTTATTTCTCGAAATCTTTCGATCTTCATGACCTCATGTCCTGTTGGCGTGTTTTTCATGTAATCGAGGTGTTTTGTTTTTGCTCACTGATGAGCCAGAGAGACAGATCTTTTAGTCTCCGTTTCAGGGTAGGTGTAGAACGGAGACTAGATCTTCTCCAAACCCCAGCCTTTATGAAAATTCAA